CCAATAATCTTGGCAAGCCACAAACCGCACACAGTGACTGATTGATCAACTGGTATATTGGTCCATTACAAGCCATTTGTGATTATTTGTTGTTTCAGAAGCTGTTTGCATCCATCATGGAGGTACTGGGCAATGAGGCTCTTGGGAAAATAATCAAACTTGTTGATGAAACCAAATTTCTGTTGGATCTGGAGTGCAAAACATTTTCAGGCAAGAGAGCAAAGCGGCCCGGAAGCATCTTGAATATTCTGTCTGTTGGAGGGCTTGGTAAAAGTCATACTTTGTGGTTTTACACATACAGTATTTAACGTTTAATACAATGTTGTTGTGTTTGCAAATTAATGTCATATGTACATTTTAGAAGAGGAACATTCTTATGATGGAAGTGCGAGAAGCCTGAGAACAAGAACAAGAAATGAGGTAAACTGAGCAACTTGTAAATCAAGGCTATTCATGTTTAAGGCTAATAATATATAGTGAAATGTAATTTATTCCTGTTATACAAAGCTGAATTTTCAGCAGACAGTTATTACTAAGTCTTCAGTGGCATGTGATACTTCAGAAATCATTCTAGTATGCTTCTTTGATGCTTAAGAAAGATTATTACTATCAAAGTTGAAAACCGTTTTTTGCTGGTTACTATTTTTTGTAGAAACTGATACACTGCCATTTAAATGTTTGAGCTTAGTTAAAAAAAGAAAGCAAAGAAAAAGAAATGAATGTGTTTATTCAGCAAAGACATGTTAATTTAATCAAAAGTGACAGTAAAGATGTCAAAAATGTTACAAAAGATTTATATTTCAAATAAATGCTGTACTTTTGAACTTTCTATTCATCAAAGAATGTATCAAGAACAAGAAATGAGGTAAAATGTGCAGAATGTACATATATGCCATTTAGTTTTATTAAAAAGAGGTCCAAATGTAAAAATAAGGGCAAGTGGGTAAGTGAGAATGTGTACTATGATAGAGTATAATATTTATTCACTGTGTGTATCTGTGTTTATAGCTAAGATTTTTATTAGTCATACAAAACATTTCCATTTTGCAGGAAATTCAACAAAAATTCATTTATACCATGGCATTACAGATGATTTTCTTTATCTGCCTCAGTTCAATGAATTTTAAATACTTTTGCTCTATTTTTAACTCGAATACTGCATTAATTGAATTTTTTTTTCAGTTTTTTTAATTTTATTTACATTTTATACAGAAAATAGTCCATAATTTAGATATGAATAATAATTAGTTAGTAACATGAAATACACTCAAAATGCTAAATATTAAAAAAATTATTGAAATGAAATATAGTATATTCATTTCACAAAAATAACATTAGTACACAATTATGGCCTCTGGTCTGTTTTGACCAGCGAACAACACAGGTGTGACTCCCAAATGAACAATACCAGAGAGTTCACTTTTTTACAGAAATCAACACTTTTATTTAGCACGGACACATTTAATTGATCAAAAGTGTCAGTAAAGACATTTACAATGTTGCAGAAGATCTCTGTTTCACATAAATTCTGTTCTTTTGAACTCTCTATTCATACACGCCTATAAATTTTCAATTTATCACTGTTTCCACAACAATATTAAGCAGCAAAACTGTTTGCAACATTGAAAATAGTAAGAACCATTATTAATATTTGAGCACCAAATCAGAATAGCACCATAGGAATACTCCTGAAAATTCAGCTTTGCCATCACAACAATAACATTTTATAATATATTAAAATAGTAAATATTTTTTACAGAAATATTTTGGCCTTGGTGAGCATAAGAGTTTTTTTTTAATTATAAAAAGATTATTCCACACTTTTGACCAGTAGAGCAAGTATATGAAAAAATAAAGTCACTAAATTGCTAGGCTATTTTATGATTAATTAGTTTATGGTCGCAGTCTGATGAGGCTTCAGAAGACCGTGCAGAATCCCCACTGGTGCTGGCTGTGTCGATCAGAGATGAACTTGGAAATGTGAACTTGAATTCCATCACTGCTGGTTTGTGAATGTTATGTTAAATTACAAATTAATGACTTTAATGAATCGATCCAAAAGACAAGTTGCCAGTGTACAGAATTGCATGCTGAATCCATCAGAATTTTACTGAATTAACTTCTGGCAAAGTCCCAAAAGACAATTATTTAATTGCTCTCCTGTCAGGTCACTTAAACGCATCTTTAGAAGACAGAGAAGCATCTGTTTTGCCAGAAGACAGCAGCGAAGATCCTCAAGAATCGGTTACACTCTTTGGAAAGAGATCCTTTATTTGTTCAGAGTGCGGCAAGAGTTTCTCTTCTCAAAGCAACCTCAAAATCACATCAGCGTATTCACACTGGAGAAAAGCCCTTCGGCTGTGTTCTTTGTCTGACCACCAATGAGTCGACTCGGGAGAAAAGCCATTTGTTTGTAAAGTCTGTGGCAAATGCTTCGGGAAAGCCGCACACCTCAAAACCCACGAAATAATCCACACCGGCGAAAAACCGTTCGGCTGCAGCGTTTGCGGAAAAAGATTCAACATTGTGTAGGGTATCAGACCGAATCAGACAATTTAAGATTTGGTCAAGAACATGGTTGACCAGTATAGTGATGGGGACACTATACTGACAAAAAAGCACCGTCTTTCGGATGAGACATTAAACCGAGGTGCTGACTCTCTGTGGTCATTAAAAATCCCATGGCACTTCTCGTAAAGTTGTCCTGTGGCTGCCATTGCATCATCCAAGTGGATGCTGCACACTGGTGGTGGTTGAGGAGTGACCCCCCCACATGATTGTAAAGCGCTTTGGGTGTACAACAATACACAATAAAGCGCTATATAAATGCATCATTCATTCAACTTATCCACACCGGTCAGAAACCGTACTCTTGCGGGAAGGCGTTTCGGCACGCCGTCAATCTTAAAAACCACGAGCGCATCCACACGGGTGAAAAACCTTTCAGCTGCAAGGAGTGTGGGAAGAGCTTTAGTCAGCAGAGTAGCCTCATTTCACACAGCCACACTCACACTGGAGAAAAACCCTTCGGCTGCAATTACTGCAATAAGATACAGTCTAAAGCTGCACCAGAGGGTCCATACTGGTGAGAGGCCGTAATTGTGAGGATTGTGGCAAGTGCTTCAGTCAAGTCACCTGCGTACTCACAAACGCCACGTTCATGGAGGAGGGAAGCAGTACATCTGCGATAAATGCGGAAAGAGATACGCAGATCCTCGGAATCTTAAATTGCACAAATGCTATTATGCATAAACGTGGTGTTGTTCACATTCGTCACTGTAGAGATACTTTGAGCCCATTTTTTCTATGATAGATAAATTATTGGAGAATATTATCTGAAAATGAATGCAATAATGTTGAACTTATAATACTCACCTTCAGGACATCTAAGATGTATATGTTTTTTTCGTCATCAGAACAGATGAAGAGAAATTACATCACACCTCTGCAGTGAATGGGTGCCGTCAGAATCACAACAACCCGCAAGTAATCCACACAAATCTAGTCCATAAATTAACAGCTTGTGAAGTAACAAACTCATTTACATCTTGGATTGACTGAGGGTGAGTACATTTATTTTTGAAAATTTTCATTTTTGGGTGAACTTTTGAGTTTTGAGAAATTTACGTGTAATGGGGATTTCTAGTGGCCCCAACCCAAATGATGAATCTCAATTACTGTGATAGTGATATTTTTCTTTACAAAATATAGTTTATAGATTTTAGGACTGTTTTGTAAAAGTTACTAGTAATCAATGATGGCGATTTATTTTGAATGATGACGTTATGTTTTGTACCTGTCTTTATTAGTGTGGATTCTAATTGAAAAAGATCATTGTACGACTTTATATATGTTTAATATAACACAAGATAATTATAAGAAAACAATATTTCCAGAGAGAGTTGGTTTGATATTTAAAATTCTGATTGGCATTGATATGGTCAAATATTTTATTATTTTTCTTGCCCTGTTTTCTGTCAAAACATTTATATTTGATTCATGAAAATGTTGCCAAATACAGTTTTCAATAAAGCATTGTTCTTGTTGTGTGAGTATATTCATCTGCTTTTAATTATAAATTATAATACATTGTTAATGAAGACTACAAAAACAGGATATACAGAATAATTTATGCAATTTTTAATTATTGATTTGAAAGAATTAAAAGAGCAGTTTCATGTCTTATCCTTGTTTGGTTGATATGGGATTTAGAAAGTAATTGAGTAATGCAATACTTTGAGAAAGTAATTAGTTCAGTAATCTAATTACAATGTTGAAGATGTAATAAGCTGCACTGTAACTTACCCAGCACTGCCAAACAGTAGGTAGCTGAAGATCATCATAGTAAGTTTAATGTAAAAAGTGTATGTTTTTTCAGCAGAGGTACACAAACGCACATACTATATATTCGATGTCATGTTTTGCATTTATAAAAAAAAAGAAAAAAAAAGGGCCTGTACCTTTTAAAATAACGTAATAATTAGCAACTGGCTTATTCATTCATTGATTTGTAAGAATAATTGTGTGTGTGTTTGTGTGTAGAGAGAAAGCGAGATACATACGCATGCGCGCTACATTTACACTTCCGGGTTTGTCTTTAGTGGAATGTAACATTTCGCTTGTGATGTATCTATGAAACTTGCTGCCCGGGCAGAGAATAAAAGGGTGCTTAGCTGTAATTAAATAAACACGTTGTTTAAAGGCAAAAGAAAAGAGAAAAGTCTCTGCGAATGAGACTGTCGCTAGACTCGCTCTAATGGACTGATGTTGCATTGTTGTGCCTTATGACCGGACGGAACAGCAGCCAGCACTGCCAAACAGTAGGTAGCTGAAGATCATCATAGTAAGTTTAATGTAAAAAGTGTATGTTTTTTCAGCAGAGGTACACAAACGCACATACTATATATTCGATGTCATGTTTTGCATTTATAAAAAAAAAGAAAAAGAAAGGGCCTGTACCTTTTAAAATAACGTAATAATTAGCAACTGGCTTATTCATTCATTGATTTGTCAGAATAATTGTGTGTGTGTTTGTGTGTAGAGAGAAAGCGAGATACATACGCATGCGCGCTACATTTACACTTCCGGGTTTGTCTTTAGTGGAATGTAACATTTCGCTTGTGATGTATCTATGAAACTTGCTGCCCGGGCAGAGAATAAAAGGGTGCTTAGCTGTAATTAAAGCGACACGTTGTTTAAAGGCAAAAGAAAAGAGAAAAGTCTCTGCGAATGAGACTGTCGCTAGACTCGCTCTAATGGACTGATGTTGCACTGTTGTGCCTTATGACCGGACGGAACAGCAGCATGACGCGCCTGATGTTTCTAGCAGCCGCGGTGTTTCTCCTGTCCGCTCCTGCGAGCGCCTCTCAGGGGGACAAAGAGCCCGTCTATCGCGACTGCGTCAAACAATGCGTCCGGACCAACTGCACAGGGGCCCTACTGCGCGGATTCCAGTCCTCTCAGCCTCCATACATGGCACTCACTGGTACTGTACTAACCTATTTGTGTTAGTAACACTACTAACAGAGTAGAGTATTATGCAAATTGATTTTATTTCACAGCTGGCGATAGAGAATATGTCATAATATTATTATAAATTAAATTATTAGGAGAACTAAACTATTTAATGACCAATTTTGATGTACATAGGCTATTAATGAGTATTTATACAAATTACGACAAAAATTGCACAGACCTGCACACAAACTTTTTTGCTTATACATTGACATACATTGTAAAATAAAATAAAAAATTGTTAACAAAATAATGTCATAATAACAGTATTGTTTCTTTAAATTATTATTCCTTAACTTTTATCTTTATCATGGTATTGCCATTACTTTTTTGACATGTAGCCTACTATAGTAATTCATTCCATGGTTTTATTTGAAGCAGGCTGGAGTGCCATGCAAGTACCATGTTATATGAATACAGCAATAGCAATAGCTACATCACCGTGCCTTGGTACCATAACAGTACTTTTTGTATAATAATTAAAGCAACACTAAACAAAACCCAAGCCCTGCTGAAAAAAGTTCTGAAACAAAAAAATACAAAACAAACAAAAAACTTCTTATCTGACTTGGTTTGTCTGGTTGGATGGTTTTAGAGGGGGTTTGGGCACTTTTCAGATTTGGAGACCAGCTGGCCAACCCGCTAAACCAGCTGAACACCAGAGACGGGTTAAACTAGCTAGGACCAGACAACCACCATAGGCTGGTGCTGTTTTCCCCCCCTCAGGAGAGCACAGAAAAAGCAGCCTATGGCTGGTTACCTGCTTGAAAGGAAACATGATGTATCACATACAGTATTTATACAACATTCCAGTCAACATTTGGACACACCTACTCATTCTCAGTAGTAGTAGTAGTAGTAGTATTTGCAGACAATTTAGAATAATGGTAATGTCATTAAATTAACAAATTATAAATCAGACCTTCTGTCCTTTCTGAAAGTACTGTGTGCAGGTAAATCCATGATTTTGTAACCATTCCAATCTCCTGTTCGCTCTAACAGCAGATGGTATTTTATGTTGCATAGCAGTGTTCTCTTATGTCAGAGATTATAATTTGAATGTAGGGATTTTAGACCAAGAACCGATTGCTGGATGTTAGGATGACAGAGCAGAGACCCCCAGTACATGTTGCTTAAAATTGGGCTGTATTTAATGCCTAGCCTGTAATATCATGTGCAGTGCCATATTGATGTACATACTTTGTTATAAGGATTGCATTGCAAAACCATTACAATAATAATTTGTACACTGTCATATACTTGTGCTCGACAGCAAAACATTTAGCTGAACATTGTTAGCTTGTTGGCTTTGGATGAAATTTACTTAATATAGATTTTTTTTAAATTTAATATTGTGTATTTTCATGTTTTAAAAACAATGCCACATATGGAAGGATGAAATAATGAATATTCTGGCTTTAATATCAATGAAGCTAAATTGACAGCATTTGTGACAAAATGTTGATTACCACAAAAAATGAATTTTGACTCATCCTTTGTGATCAAACTGAGGTAAAATTGAGGCATTTTCACTGGAGATTCTCTAAAAACAACTTTAAAAGATGCATCCTGGCTTTTTACACCGTATTGAAAGATGTTAGACTCTTGTTGGCAGCTTTTCCTTCACTATCCTTTCTTACAAAAAATAATTAAATTTGTAAAGAAATTCATATGTAGACACAACTTATATTTAAGCATAAATTCTTCTAATTCTGTGTGAGATTTGGTCACAGAATTAGTTTTGTAATTTATAATGTTTGTAATTTAATTAATTTTGTAATTTTTGCAATCGATCGTATGAAGTCTGTGATCTTTCAGGCTGGACGTGTCGTGATGACTGCAGGTATCAGTGCATGTGGACCACCGTGGGTCTGTACCAGGCAGAGGGCTACAGCATACCACAGTTTCACGGGAAGGTTAGTGTCAAACAATGGGAAAAGAGACATGTTTTAATGGTCATCACTATGGAAATGTATGTATTTTCAACCCTGATTCTACATCTTTTTTCTATTTCTGACTTTGTGTAGTGGCCATTTGCTCGTTTCCTGTGTTTTGAGGAGCCTGCGTCTGCGCTGGCATCTCTGCTCAACGGTCTGGCATGTCTGCTAATGCTGCTGAGATACCGCAGCGCCGTCCCTCGACAGAGCCCCATGTTCCATACTATCACCGCATTCTCACTGGTGAGACAGTGTCTGTCTGCTGTAGTACTGACAACCATTCTTATTCATAACTAGGGTTCATTTAAAAAAAAAAAATGCTGCAACCGAATGACTTGCTTGACATTAATTTCCGTTAATGATTCCTGAATTTCCGCATTCTTGCAATGAGTCAGAAGGAACACTGTACTAGAATACTGTCCTCCATTTTCCTGCAGCACTGTTATCTAGTGTAATGAGAGAAACCGATAATCATGATTATTAATCATAATTTGATTAATCATTTGAGAAGTGTATTTTTACATTTCATCAGAATTATTATAAGCTCATATGCAGGGTTTGTATTACCTCATCTAGTCTCCTGATTTATTACATTATAAAAACTGTGAGAAGCTTCTCACAACAGTTAAAACAGTGAAATTCCTAATATTTATTCCAATAATTCCAAATTATTCCAAATTAAAATAAATAAATAAATAAATAAAAAGACTTTGTACTGTAGTTACACAAGTACATTTATTCAGCAACCACAATTGCAAACAATATAATTAAGATCCATGTTTAGATTTTTAACAGGTTTGCTTGCAGAGTTGTAGCAAATAGCACAAGTGGCCTCATGAAAGAACATTAACTAGCTGTATTACATGTAACGAGCAGAATAGAATAAAAAAAAATTGTGTTTTGAGGTCATTGAGTGCTTTTTGCAGTGCAGAGGGAGCATGTGTGCATGGGATTGATTAAGAGAAAAGCTCTGACTAGGGAAGTTCAAGCCTAAAAGTTCATAGAGGCTTATTACCAATGCAAGATAACAGAAATGTCAAATGAAGAAAAAAACTAAACTAAACAGCAGGCCAATATCGCAGACAATTATGCTTAATTAACTGAGAGAAGTATAAATCATGTTTAAGTATGATTAATCGTGCAGCCCTAATTATATATGTATATATAATGTGTCTTGCTATTGCAATGTTCTCACTGATTGCACACAGAAGCAAACATAGAGCAGCACAAACAGGGTAATCATATTTGTTCTTCTGCGCTGGATCAGTTAATAGGTCAAAATGACTTAAAAACCGGCCTCCTGTCAATGTCAATAGCCTCGTGGGCAGCGCTTTGACGTGTAGCGACCCGTTGCGCTTCGGGCGTCCCGTGTTTGAGTCCCGGCTCGTGGACCTTTCTCTATCTCATCCCCGCTCCCCCTCTCCAACTTTGCAACCTGTCTAACTTTGTCCTATCAAATAAAGACAAAAACGCCAAAAATAAATATTTGAAAAAAATCTGTAAAAAAAAAAAGACTGGATTTGATTTAGTCTAATTACTCTCTAAATTAGTCGAAGTTGACACTGAACCATAAGACTGAAACTTCACTAGGTTTTTATTTATTTTTTAACTTGTTGCCACTATTGTTGAATTCCTTATAATTCTGATTCCTATTCTATGTCTCTGCAAATAAAAGTCTGAAAATTTATTAGAATTCAAATTTTTTGTATCTTGTTTAGTATTTTATTTTATTACTCTAATTTCA